TCAAGGACCCGCGATACCATGATCTCTTGTCCTTAGTCAAGACGGCGCGCAATGGTATCATCTACGGGACCAAGGTGCGGTTTCCGCATGCGCTGGTGTAAGTCATATGCATTCTCTTGGCAACCTCGATACTGACAAACATGAATAGGATGGTGTTTCTCTTCCGCTCTGGAACGTACGTTCGACCTGCCTTGACACCCGACCGCCAACAACGCTGACATGCAACAACAGATTCCCACAGAAAGTAAACCTAGTCCTTCGAGCGACAAGACATCACGCAACCAACCTGGCGCGCTTTGCCCTTATTTATAAGCTGACCATGCTCGCGCTCAAATACTTTGGCGCAGAGCCTGGAAAGGAGGGTACGTCATCGTCACTGAAACTTACCCTCAGCATGTTCCCCAGAATTCTAACAACTATGAACAGGAACATACGACTCCTTCGTTGGTGGTCTTGTGGGCGGATATTTCGTCTTCGGCGGCCGTTCCAAGCGTACGGGAAAGATCTCATCGGTCAACCAGCAGATCGTTATCTACGTCTTTGCGAGAGTGATGCTCGCACTCGCCCGCATCGCCGTGAAGCCAGGTCACGGATTCCCATTCGTATCGTCCGAACCTCTCCATGGAGTTATTAATCAATATGCCTGGCCTGCGTTCGCGTCGCTCTCGTGGGCTATGGTGATGTTGATCTTCCGATACCACCCCGAGGAGCTGCAGTCGAGCTTGAGGAGCAGTATGACGTACATCTATAAGGACTGCAACGACTTTGACTCGCTCCGGACTTTGCTTTGGCATAACAAATAGATGATGATTCCTCTGTCGGTTAGTTGGTTTGGCGTTGGGCGTGAGAGATGCTCGATAATTTTGCATATCGGGATTCACTGTTTTAGCATTGCAGTCGTCATAGGCTGGAACCCTGGGTTTTAGGAAGCATGAATAGACATGGATACATGGAACCAATATGATAGAGGTGAATCTGTCCTCTTTGTAGGTTAGGAATATATGAATGCAAATATTGAATGCCATGCCATAGACTCTATATCCTTATAAAGAAGTTTGCCAAAACTTATATCGTTGCCCTAAAACTTTAAATGATTTCAACAATCAAATGCGATTAAACATTTCCAGTTATTCTTGAAGCCAATACCTAGTGGTAGTCGTGGCCCTTGGTGTGCGTGAGCAGGTTTGATTAGCACGTCTTCTAAACTTCTCGTCAATTACAACTTTTGTCATCGAGTTGAGGTGGACAGCTGCCTCAACCAGATCGCGCTAATACGGCAACCTACCCCGCTAGAGCTGACCCCTGCTTGCCCCTCCACACTGACACCTGTAGTGAGCCTCAACTTAACCCCAGGCAGCTACTACGTATACCTCCACCTCAGTCCATCATCTTTGCATCTCACAGATTTCTACCAACCGACGACCATGGCACCAAATCCCAAAGTCGCGGAGGCGATCTCCAACGCCGAGTCTTATTCTGGAGAGAAGGGACCTCTCTACGAGCAACTGCTCTCCGAAATCAAGAACATTTCATCACCGTCCACCGCTACCAACGACCTAAATGCTATCATCGACTCCTTCTTTAACCAGGCGCTCGGCGTCGTGGCCACGCGAACCGTCCTCGCGTCTTTTATTGCGACACTCCGAGAATTCAAGAACGAGGATATGTGGATCGAGGTCGGGAATCGAACATTGAACACCATCGCGGCCCAGCCATCTTCTTCTTCTTTAGTGGATGCCGTCGCCACTATCCGGGAGCTCATTGCGACGGCCCACGAAAGCAACGGTGACTTCCTTGATGCTGCAAAGGCTCTGGCCGATATTCCCCTTGATAGTTCTCAGCGCAAGATCACCGATGAGGAGAAAGCTCGCACATGGATTCGCATCGTTCGGAACTACCTCGAAGTCGACGACTCTACGGCCGCCGAGATGTATATCAACAAGCTCAAGAACATAATGCATACCGTATCCGATCAAGAACTAAACTTACACTTCAAGCTCTCACAAGCCCGTATTCTGGACGCTCAGCGCGACTTTTTATCCGCATCTCAACGATATCACGAGATCAGCTTCTCGCCTGCGATTGACGAAGAGGAACGCCTACATACACTCAGTATGGCGGTCAAATGTGCTGTTCTGGCACCCGCTGGTCCCATGAGAAACCGAACATTGAGTCGCCTCTACAAAGATGATCGCTCCTCGCAACTTGAGGAATTTGGTATCCTGGAAAAGATGTTCCTTGACCGGCTGTTGTCACCTGAGGAGGTTGACAAGTTTGCAGAGGGGCTCCAGCCACACCAGCTGGCAACTACATCAGATGGCTCCACGGTACTTGCCAAGGCTGTCGTCGAGCACAATCTTCTCGGCGCATCTAGACTTTACAGCAATATTAGATTCGAGGCCCTGGGAACACTATTGGGCCTGGATACTGATAAGGCTGAAGAGACCACTGCACGTATGATTGAGCAGGGTCGTTTAGTCGGGCGTATGGATCAGATTGATGGCATTGTGTACTTTGAGGGTGGCGAGGCATCTGGAGAGAAGGGGAGTGGGCGAGCAGAAATTATTGTTGGCAAGCAAATGCGAAATTGGGATGCCAACGTTGAGAGCTTGGCTGAGGAGGTGGAGAATATCACCAATGCGCTGCAAAAGGAGTTTCCCGTAAGTTCTCAAGTTATTGATTGATCTTGACTTTGGTTGATCTCGTACTGACTCTATTTTAATAGGAATTTGTTGCCGCAACCCTTGTTGTGTGAGAAAGGGACGGATTAGAACCTCGTAGTGGATATGGCGTTTAGGGATTGGGATGATCAAGGGCTGTTTATGTCAATGCATAGCATATGAATCCCTTTGGTTCTAGACTGGCAATTTTAATAAGCCAAAAGTTTTAGTCCAAATCTTTCTTGCGGACCACCACGTATCCTTCATTGATATTCCGAGGGTTGCCATCCTCTTCATCGAACTGGACTTCATCCTCCAATGCCAAGACTTCTGAAGTTCTGGAGTTGGTGGGCTCTTCAAATGTGCCTTCGCTCCAAAGGATGTCTATAAGGGCATCGGCGATGTGATTGCCCATCCAGTCGTAGCCCTCGTCTCGGAGATGGAGGCCGTCATCCCAGTACCTTTCGCGATCCCGTTCCGAAAGCGAATGGTAGGGTATCTTGGAATGAAGGTCAAAGGCGTAACTGTCAAAAATCAGCATCAGCTAACAGCAAAGACAGTAGCCATCTGATAGTTGAAAATCATGTAAAAGCTTTTTGTAAATTCCTTAAACTTACTATCCCGTGTCTTTGTTCATAAGGATGCTCTGGTTGAGCTCGTTCCTTGTCGACGTGCCTCTCTTGCCTTTGGACTGGCACTCAGGGACCGTGAGAGCGAGGACCTTGGATTCTCGGCTCAGAGGGACATCATATAAATCCTTAAGGGCAGAAAATATGTTTCCCGGAGTGACACCGTACGCTATATCGCTACAGGTATATATCAGCATATTTGTATCTGGCAGAAGAGATGTATAACTCACTTCGTGCCCCCGAGGATAATTGTCCAGTCGTAATAATTGCCCTCCCCTGTTCATCCTTGTTAGCCGGTTGAATGCTACAGAAGACTCGAAGGAACTTCATATAATGAGAGTCACATACAAGCAGCATCCATTCTATCTTTGAAGCGCTTGAAAGAAGCAACATCGCCTGGCACAGCATTCACCACGATCTCAAAGTCCACCTCTGGAAACGTCCCGGTGAGCCGGTCTTCCAGCTTGAGAGCGTATGGATGTGAGTCCATGCCATGGCAGAAATATCCCGAGGTTAGAGAGTCTCCAAAGCATAGTATACGAAGCGTCTTGCGAGGCATGGTGACGATGTCTTTTGTTTCAGGTTGTGTAAACGGTGGGTGAGTAATAGCGAGGCGGGGTGGTATGGAGGGTGTGCGTAGGCAGTAGGCCAGTTGGTGTAAGCAGGCTGCAGCGATGGAGGTTCTGCGAGAAGCTTCACGCGCGTGTGCATCCTATGTGTTTGCAAACTCCTGGATGGCTCATCCGATTTCTATGACAATGTACAATAGATACCTAGCTGTTTGTTTATTTAGGCTTTGGGATTATTATTAAAGATTTGCTATATACTTGATTTTGCTTTATAAACTTAGAATAATTATATAATATATAAATAAATTAAAAGCTAATATATAAAATGTTTTAAAATAGTTAAAATAGCTACTTTCTTAATTAAATATTATATTTATTAATAAAAAGAGGTTTTATTATATAAGTAATATGTAACTATAATACTAAAAATGAGTATATGTTTTGCTATATCAATCCTCAGTCTTTAAATAATATAGCATCGGTGAGATGGCCGAGTTGGTTATGGCGCCAGGTTAAGGTCAACCTTAACACCAATTTCCTGGTGGAGCAATCCTCCTGGGTTCGAGTCCCAGTCTCATCAGTAGTTCTTTTTGTTTCCCTTAAGCATTCATCAAGTGAGCCAAGTTCCTTTTTGCGACTCGTGCGATGACGGAGTGTTCCCACGACATCATCGCAAAAAAGCTTGAGCTCCAATCCCGTTAGGTTTCCTAGGCTTAAACCCAATTTCCATATAGCAAGGTATTCTCATTTCCTGATAAAAGAGCTTGCATCCCTCCAAATAATTCCAGTACGGACGACCTTTCAACCTCCGCAATCGTTCGTCATATCTCAAGCTTTGACCAAGTCTTTAAGGCTGATTCCCCTGCAAAATATTTATAATTGCAACAATTCAGAGCAACGCTTGTTGCTGTTTTTTCTGCGACTGCCCCGCCCCCTCCATTGCTCTTCCGCAATCGCTACTACCCCGCCAAACTTTTTTCCTTTTGGCCTTTCCTTACTCGCCCGAGAGCCCAATCCAAACCTGAATGAGACGCCCTCTTCCCACTTACATCTTTTCTTATTTTTCTTCTTCGTCTTCTTCTTCTGTCTTTCGTCCTTTCCCCGTTTTCTCTCCCAAAAAGTTCTCCTTTCTAGCTTCCAAGATGTCCTCCCAGCAGAAGATCGCCATCGTCTCAGTCTATGACAAGACCGGTCTTCTGGACCTGGCTAAGGGCCTTGTCCAGCAGAATGTTCGAATTCTCGCTTCCGGAGGCACCTCCAAGATGATCCGAGAGTCTGGATTCCCTGTCGAGTGAGTCAACGCAAGCGCTCGATTGCTAGATAATAGAGCTAAACGACTTCCACAGGGACGTCTCTGCCATCACCAAGGCCCCCGAGATGCTTGCTGGTCGTGTCAAGACGCTTCACCCTGCCGTCCATGCAGGTATCCTGGCCCGTGATCTCGCCTCCGACGAGAAGGACCTCGCCGAGCAGAACATCAACAAGGTCGATTATGTCATCTGCAACCTCTACCCCTTCAAGGATACCGTCGCCAAGATCAACGTCAGCATCCCTGAGGCGGTTGAGGAGATTGACATAGGTGGTGTTACTCTTATCCGTGCTGCCGCCAAGAACCACAAGCGCGTCACTATCCTCAGCGACCCTAACGACTACGCTGGTTTCCTCAAGGAGCTCGAGAAGGGCGAGATCACTGAGGCCAGCCGTAACCGCTATGCTCTCAAGGCTTTCGAGCATACTGCCGACTACGATGCTGCTATCTCCCAGTTCTTCCGCAAGGAGTACGCCGGCAACGGCGAACAATACACTGCCCTTCGATATGGCGCCAACCCTCACCAGAAGCCTGCCGCCGCCTATGTTTCCGAGGGTAACCTGCCCTTCAAGGTCCTGTGCGGCTCGCCCGGCTACATCAACCTCCTCGACTCCCTAAACGCCTGGCCTCTGGTCAAGGAGCTCAAGAAGGCTCTTGGCAAGCCTGCTGCTGCCAGCTTCAAGCACGTCTCTCCCGCTGGTGCTGCCATCGGCCTGCCCCTTACCGAGGACGAGAAGAAGGTTTACTTTGTCCATGACATCGAGGGTATTGATGAGTCCAGCCTCGCCCAGGCCTATGCTCGTGCTCGAGGAGCCGATCGTATGAGCAGCTTCGGCGATATGATCGCCCTCAGCGATGTAGTTGACGTTCCTACTGCCCGCATCATCTCCAAGGAGGTCTCTGATGGTGTTATTGCTCCTGGCTACGAAGATGCCGCTCTTGAGATCCTCAAGAAGAAGAAGGGAGGCCGATATCTCGTTCTTCAAATCGACCCCGAATACAACCCCCCTGCTACCGAGACCCGCACCGTCTACGGCATTAACCTCCAGCAGCACCGCAACGATGTCGAGATCACCCCCAAGCACTTCACCACAATTATCACCCCGAAGGACACTGCTTCTCTCCCAGAGAGCGCCGCTCGCGATCTGACCATTGCCACCATTACTCTTAAGTACACTCAAAGCAACTCCGTGTGCTACGCATACAATGGCCAGGTTGTTGGTCTCGGTGCTGGCCAACAGTCCCGAATTCATTGCACTCGACTCGCCGGTGACAAGGCCGACAACTGGTGGATGCGATTCCATGAGCGTGTTCTCGGCATCAAGTGGAAGAAGGGTACCAAGCGACCCGACAAGAGTAACGCCATCGACCTGCTCGTCAGTGGCCAGCTCCCCAAGGACGGTCCTGAGCGCGAAGCGTTTGAGGGTGTCTTCGAGGAGGTCCCAGCTGCCTTCACCCCTGAGGAACGTGAGGCTTGGATGAAGCAGCTTAAGGATGTTTGCGTTTCCAGCGACGCTTTCGTAAGTAGTATATCCATCAGCCGATTGAATTCTACTGACATGCATGATAGTTCCCCTTCATTGACAACGTCTTCCGCGTTGCTCAGTCAGGGGCCAAGTATGTTGCCGCTCCGGGTGGTAGCCAAAACGATGCCGCCGTATTCGATACCGCTGAGAAGCTGGGCATTACCTTTGTTGAGCAGAACATTCGTCTGTTCCACCACTAAGTGATACCTCATCGGATTTTTTTCTTTTTTTTTCTTTTTTTTTTTTGCAATTTGATATGGAAATGGAATTGGAAAAGTAAAAAAGGCCTGAAAGTTTTGGCCTGGAAAAGAAGGATTCCCAGAGATTGTGATCTGTACGATTGCGATATTGTATACATGATAGACTTAACGCCGCGCCCAGACGCTCACTTCAACGTGATGATGATGATTTGAACCATTGTAAAAGCTTCCCGTCCCTATATATTTCTCCCCTCTCGCTCAAAAGTTTGTTGACGCGAGACCGTGAACCCAGCCCAAATTATCTATCCCCTTTGCTCCGTTTCATTGTTGTCATGATCTTGCCACCAAGCGCAAATAAAAACCAGATGAACCTCAAATCGCGTTGCTTCCATGCACCCGTTCGGTATTAACCATTTGTGTCCTTAATCCTCAATATCATCATCACTCAGCACCAATTTCTGAGCGAGAAGGCCCGAAACATTTCCTTCCTTTATACCCGCACTTCTCTTCCGGGAACTTATTTCTTCTGATGGTTTATCTGTTGCCCAAGCCTCTCCCGGCTGCATGTCGTCATCTGCATCAGACTCTTCATCGGCAGCATTAATGCCTTTGAAGGCAACCACCTTCTCAAGTTCGCGCAAACGGAAGCTTGATGTTTTTCGAGCACGAGCTATGTGCGCCATATATGGGAGACGCTCAAGGAGCATCTCACGCCGGGCTGCGCTGCCAAGCGAGAGAAGCGGCGCACTCTCGAGATCGTCTTCTTGCTGCTGCTGCTGCTTTACCATCGCTTGACGATTTAGCTGCTTACGCTGCATCCAGGAGGTCTCGCCAGAGGATTGCTGAGGACGACGAAACGCTGTGGCCCCATCGGTCAGATTTTTCGTTGCTCCATCGTCGCCTTTAAGTAGTTTTGTAGACCACATATCCACAAACCCTTCTAACTCTTCCTTGGCACGCCAGAGTTTCAGACTCGTGGGGTAGAACATCTTGAAGGCGTCGCTGCCCTTGGACATGGCTGATGATTTGCGCTTAACAGGGTTAGGAAGTGAGAACAACATGCCCCTGACAGCTACCTGGAAAGTTATTTCGTCCTGCCGTAACACATGGCTGCCAGAATCTGAACCTGAAAAGCCACCTCTGCCGCCGAAGAAGATATCTCTTGATGGTGAGAGGAGATCTGCTTGTGACAGATATTCGATACAGTCATTAACGTAGTCCATTGGTGTTGACAAGTCCATAGGGTCTGTGCTCTCACAGGAAAGAACGTAGTTTTCATGTAAGGCCGAAACAAAAGTATGTGTATCTGTACCCGTCTCATCGATGAGCGTATCAACAGACACTTGTGAGCGTTTCGGTCTCGAGAAATGCGAAAGGAAACTTGGGAGGTTCTCGACATCGTTACCTCCTGGCGGAGGAAGCTCATCTCGTTTGTTGTAGACAACCTTTCCAACCGCATGGAAGATACCTAGACTCGCTTCACGTTGGGATACTTGTTCCAGACTCTCCTCTTCGCCTTGTGTGAGTTTGATGGCATCTTTCGCACCTTTGGTCAGCTTCGTGAGCACGACCTTGTTACCCCAATCTCCTTGCTGGTCACCTTTCAGACACAGAAACTCGAGAGATGACACGGCGTTTCTGATGTCTCCAATTTCACCAAGGCGTTTTAGAACTTGAGGTCCTGGTGTTTTCCTGCGACCAGATTTTCTGGCCTCTTTCTGGACAACGAGTTCCAGTGCCTTGAGGAGTAACGAGGGGGCAATGGCATTGAACTCAATCATACCAACCCCTGGATGTTGTAGGATTTCCGGCCCCAAAAGTCGATGTGCAGTAAAACTGTCCGCTGATGCAGAGGTCGTAGTCAGATGAGTTTCTGAAATGACCATGACCACCGGTGTTATGGGCTCATGCTGTGAAGGCTTCGCAAACATGGATAAAGAGGGTGTGCTATTGGCAAGGTAATGTAAAACGGTGCTCCGGAAGGATGTTAAAGCCGTTGAAGATCTTGAAAATGTGTTAGGAAACTCCTCGATGAGAATAACTCGTTTCGGATCATTTTTTCGGTTGATCTGAGAGCTGTTCTGGGTCGATGACATTGAAGCATCGGTCTCTAATGCTCCAAATTTACCACCACGACCAAGAAACTCTTGGAACTGCGCAGATGCTGAAACGGAACCCAGACCAGAGCTTCCCGCAGGATTTCGCCATTCAAGAAGCTCACTACCCATGTCGTTTGCCAGCAGTCGCAGGGTCGTTGTCTTCCCGGACCCAGCAGCACCTTTGAGAATTAGCAGACGCTGGCGCATGCGTCCAGCTATCACATCCTCCAACCACCTCCTCACATCAGAGACTTTTTTCTTGTGAACTGCTAACTCCTCCAGGTTTCGAGGTCCAAATCGTTCTGACCAAGGGCGTGCATCGTCGTTTGGCCTGGCTATAGGTACTGGCTTAGGTGGTTTGATGAACTTTTGGCTGGCGCTGGGTACACTAGACAACGACGATTGCGAGTCATTTCGTAGTCTCTTTTTCGCATGTTGTCCAACTAAGCTTGCGGAGCTTGCCTTATGTTCCGAGATCTCATCATCCTCTGAAATAGGATCACTGATAATATCTTCGAGAGGGACGGATCGCCTATCTCCAGCACTCGACCGCGCAGCCCTTTGTGCCTGGTTCGAAAATAGCGTCTTCAAATCAGCTGTCCTTCCAGTATCTGCTGCTTTGCCAACATCCTTGGTACGCTTCGCGCTTGGACTCGTGCTATTGCTCTTCGCTTGCGCTCGACGAGGTAGCCGGAGTGAAGCATTCTTGGTTGGCTTATTATCGACGATTTTAGGTTTTGTCGGGCTCGGCGAAGCTGTAGCGACGCGGCTTTTGGTAGAGGAGCTCGGTGAAGTAATCAAAAACTTGGTCAGGGTGTTTGCACGGGGCGATTCGTCTTCATCGTCTGAAGCGTCAACGACATTCCGCCGGCGGCGCTTCGCGGGCGGAGCCATCAGCGCAGAGGGTGCATTTGCAGCAACAGCATAACGTTCTGAAGGGGTAAGCGATCGAATTGTGCGGTGCTTGTTAGAGCTTTTCGCATGCCGTGGGGAGATGGTGATGATGCTGTTTACTATCTGATAGCTTTGATGGAGCGTTATCGTGAACTGAGACCCGCAGTATCTACAGTGCATGACCCACCGAAGCACGTTACAGTGCATAGGTTGACATTTAACCCCTGCTTAAGCGCCTAGACTCCCAAATCGAGAATTTGTTACAAGAGATGAATCACAAGCCACAGCGTGTTCTTGATGAGACAATTTCATAAGTCCGTTTCCACATTGGGCCACAGCGGTCATTTCGTAGTGCTATCAATTTGATGTTGATTTTACAAGAAAGTATACAACTGATCCGTATCCAGGGTGCGCTGTTGCTTCATTTTCTCACACTCTCATCCCACCTATCTCATAATGGATCCTTATACCACACGCTTCCCATCTTAGTATGTCCACCCTCTGAAATTGTCGACGAAAGTCAGGGCTGCCAGAAGGTATCGATCGTGAACGTCACCCCATGTCTTTGAAGCCTCCTTCAACACCCGGATTGCTTACACAGGATTAGTGGACGGGGAGATAGCAACTGGAGAAATGGCCTTACCTTTGACGTAATGAGCATCTGTAGCCCAGTCAGAGTTCACTGCCTCGTCCTCAACGTACTTCCAGCCTCGTTGTTTCGGGTCGTTGTCCACGTTATCCGGATCTGGGAGTGGCCGTCGTTTCACGATAAAGATGCCCAAGGCCAGAAGCCACCATTGCCGGACAAGAGGAATATGATATTTTTCGGGAATGAAGGGGAGAAGAACTCGGACTGCATGGCTGGTTGTTAGGATATGCACGAGCATGAAGTTGAATGCATGGGTGCCTGGCTTGACTGTGGCTACTAGCAAAGCAGCTGCGGCTTCTTGGGACAGTTCGAACTGCTTCACAGGATCTGTGATTTCCCATGCGTTCCAGTACTCCAAGATGATGTCCTCATATGAGCTGAAGAGCTCTTCCAGGTCGTACAGGCCGGGCCTGACGTCATCGAATCTATCGTCCTTCGATAGTTTGGTGAGAAGATCCATTGGGGAGGCCGAGGTAAAAGGGGCCTTTCTGGTGTACGACTTGTTGTCGAGGTACTTATGGAGAAAGTCATGCTGGACACAAGCAAGTCCAAGGGCTTCCATGGCAAGTTCCTTACAATCCATCTCGAAGGCATAGCCTAGATGGATCAGCGGGTGTCCGACTGTGAGTGTTAGCAACTGCATGTTTTATTCATGTGGGATTTGTAGACATACGACCGCCGATCAGACCATTGATGAGAGGCTCATCGCCAGTGAACAGATAATGCTCCATTTCTTGGTGCCAGTCATAATTAAATCGCATAACGAGCTTGTCTTCGAAGAAGTCCACAAAAGCCCGCTGGTACCTTGCATCGCCCCGAAGCTCTTGCCAGTCATCCTCTCCAATCTCAGCGGGCGACGGTACCCATGCCTCCAGCTCGCGGATTTCTCTGTCGTAGATGTCATTTAGTTGAGGAACACTTGCTCCCAGGAGGTATGCTGAGCTGAGGATATGAGCATTGTGATTATCATATTGAAGGTTGTTGTAGACGATCGAGTAGTTAGCATGATTTGCTTTCAAGAGGTGCTTTAGACATCGTGCCCGTTTGCTCGGGTCTGTCTCAATGTGATGAATCTCTACCGAGGCGATGTTGATGGCTTGGCGGTTAACATCAAGTCCCAGTAGTTTGTTAACTACAGGAACATGAGCAAGGATTCCAGACATTATAGGACCGCAAGATGAGGAGATATTTGACTGAATTCAGGTTGTTATGATGAGAGCTAGTCAAAGGCGCATGACGTTGAATCGAACAATGAAATCAATCTTCCGTTGGGGCTTCCAGCGGGCACTAATAAATCATAGCGGGGCAAACCTTTTCTTTGGGGACAGGGGTGACACTGTAACACAGAGGCAGAGGTTCCCCAATCACGCGTGCACGGACCACACCATTATCAATCTTCAGGTCGCGCGTCTCGGTCCCGAATCTTTAAACCAAGCAAGCCTCTCAGTTCAAAAAAGATTTCTTGAGGATGACGTCTCAAACTTCCACGATATATGCAGAACTTCTGTCACATCTCAGACATATTTCTGTTGCCGTGTCGATATTAACATCAGTCGACTCTTCCACAAAAGCTGAAATCTCACCGGATGGCCGGCAACTCAGCGTGACACACCGCGGCCACACAGAGCACGTCACTTTGCCGGCACAAACATCTGCCATAGGCTCATTACCTGTAGCCCGGATTGGTCGCTCAAATCTGTCATGGAGGCTTCCAGTCTCACCAACAGAAGCGAGGCCCTCTCGTTTCTCTCTGGAGAGCCAAGCGGTGCCATGGACATCAGCCGATATCACAACTGGATCATCGGTAGCCTGCCGCAGCTGTGGAAGCGAGTTCGTCACCCAAGGTATCATCAGTATATGGAAAGACTTACCGAGTGAGAACTGGGCTGAAATGATGGAATTTTGGCATTGCCATAAACCTCATGACCACGACCATCAGGATTCTGAGTCTTTGGCCACCAAAGGCTACGGTGCCAATCATGCTATATCTGCCCAACGGGGAGTTGGCTTTGTCGACTTGACATCATTCCTGTTCTCGGAGTCCGACTGCCGAGGCCTGCAAGTAAGTATCAATCCTGCAACACCGATTTGTCCTTGACTACGCTTGGCCAGAGCTCAAGCAATCAATCTACGGGGAGAAAGAAGATGTCCATGTCGGTATACCAAACCTTTCAGTGATTTGGCCATCGATACAACTCCCCAATATGAATGCACTTGTCGTCCCCACTCCGATGGGCAGCCAGCTTTCTGGAACCCTTCTTCACAGAACGGGATCCTAGGGTAATCTGAAGACGCGGCCTCTCTTTTTCATCTAACCTCCCATAGACATGGGTGTTTAGAGATTACCGAGAGGCATATTGCTCAAGAAGTTACATAAAGTTTCAACTCATTGGCGGTTTACTTACACACTCTAGTATTCTTCCTCAACACCGGATGCTGGGTTCGATCTATCTTCGCTGGCGCTCAACGACGACGAGAGCAAGAAGTTTTTACACATATTTTGCCGGGAATGCAAGACAGAAGTAGGCTTGTACAATATCGCGGCATTGTCTGTCACACTATTCAAATGGAAAATTACTTGCCAGACCAAGACCACAGATCCTAGCCCAAGCAGTTCCGAGTGTCTTGCAGCAACTCTGCTGGCTACGATTTCGAGGTCGGGGTCATCCAAGTCTATTGTCACGCCGCATACTTCTGGGGTTGAAAAATCCGAAGCAGTTTCTCATAAGAACCTTCATCTCTGGGTGATGAACCCTAATGTCGTATACACAGCGTCCTCTACCGCTGATAGCAAGACGGCGATGAAGATATTCTACAAGCATATCGATCCTTTAGAGAGTGAGAAGCTTCTCACGTCCATAACCTCAGATGTCCAGGAAATAAGCTTGCCCGAAGAAGCCATCAAAGCTGCAGATAATTGCTTGTTACGGAGCAGTGAATTACTACCCGTTCAAGAAAGGACTTTCAATGAGTGGCAAGTGGGACTGCTTGAGAGATGGGAACCTGCATCTTCATGATAGGATAGATAATCAAAATATCTTGACTTTGAGTGTTATATTCCATGGTTTATTGGAATAAAGCTTTTGCAACCCATCTGTTATCTAGGTTTTGGGTCGATTGGCAGTTATCATTGAGCCCTGTCACGAGGCGTTGGTGATTACTCCTCTACAGTGTGTGAAAACTGTAAGAGCCACTACGAAACGGCGGAGAGCAATGTGCGACAAAGATGCCTATACTGTGGGTTTCGCCCATCCTGTAGGCAGCCACCTATGTTCTCTTCCTGTAACCAAACCTCCCCCTCGCATGGGCCAAAACCAGGTGAGATCTTATATCAGATTTTCGTTGGAACCTAACGAGTACATGGGCTTGACACTACTGGGTTCGCTTTATGATGAGAATTAACGCTCGCCCTTCTCGAAATAGCGTCTGCTCATTCCTTGTGGCAGCCTTACTCAGATCACCATGCCACCAAAAGGGACAGATTTCATACCCGCTGGGTGTATACCAATCAAGAGAACGGAAATCAAGCTAGCTTCAAAATGGTTTTCGGATGAACTTCGAGAATGGAGAAACTTCAGCTCGTTATCGAAAGACGCAGGCGAAACAAATGCAGAGGATGACGAGCTCTTCCTCCCAGATAACCTGGAAATTGCTTTAACTTGTATAGGGACACTACGATCATGCATCAAACTTTCACAGGCGTCCTGGGCAAAACTTCAATTCAGCATTCAGAACAACGATTCCGATTATGGTTTCATTAGGGTCTATCTGCTGCCCGATGATGTCCTCCGTAGCACGGTGGACCGCTCTAACCAGTCTCTATTGAAGGCAAGAAATGATGTCCTTGGACAATTAAACTACTCACGAGAAGCCTGGGCTGGAAATTCAAACGCAATATGGTTGGACAAGCCACTACTCCACGACGTTGTTGCCCAAAATGAACATCTAAACGAAGGCATGTCTCTGTTGCAGCTTTTCAACAAAATTCCATCGCCTACGCCCAGAATCAACATCGTCGAGGAGACTTACTCAAAGTCTGCTATGTGCAATATCTTGGACGGCCAAGTTCCAGGACTGAAATCGGAGCTGTATCCGTATCAGCGGAGGTCATCGGCCATGATGCTGCAAAAAGAGGTCCAGCCCGAGCAAGTGCTTGACCCGCGTCTACTCCACGTCAAAGACCAAGAAGGAGGATCGTGGTACATTGACACTGTGGCTGGCACAGTGCTCAGGGAGCCACGACACTACGATGGGGTCTCTGGCGGCATCCTCGCCGAAGAGATGGGCGCTGGAAAGACTATTATCTGTCTCGCGCTCATTCTTGCAACAAAAGGACTGCCTACTCAACCACCTGAGTATGTTTGTGCTGAGAAAGCCCCGATCAGGAAGCGCCTGGCTTCTTTGGCTGAAATGGCTGCGTCTTGTGCCACAAGGAATGCAGTCCCCTGGCGTCCCTATTTCGACCTTTTCAAGACCAAGTTAGGGGACGACTATGAGAGATGCATTGCAGCCCTAGAAAGAAACCCGGGGTACTATTCTATCCAGTCATCTGACAAGCGACGGGTTACGAGATTCTGTACCGGAATTCAGTCAAAAAAGACGCGGCTCTACCTTAGTAATGGGAGTATTGTGGTTGTGCCCCCTAACTTATTGATGCAGTGGAAGCAGGAGATCAGCAAGCATACTGAAGGCCTGGAGGTTCTAGTTGTGACGCGAGATCAGCCACTACCGAAAGAAGAAGACTTGGTGAAGTTCGACCTCATCCTCTTCACTCAGACAAGGCTGGAGAATCTACTTCGACAAAAGGGCGGACTTGAACAATCTTCACTGTCCAAGGTTCATTTCAAGCGATGCATTGTCGATGAAGGACACAAGCTTGGGCATTCAAAGATGAGTAGTAAGAGCAATCTACTTATCGCTCTGGATGCTTTGCATTTCTCTGCGCGGTGGATTGTGACAGGAACTCCATCTCAAGGTTTGTATGGAGTCGACATACAAGCAAAAACACCGCAATCTGTAGCACAACCTGAAGAGAGTGGCTCAGTGATGGCTGTCAACACATCCAGAAACTCTATTCTAGAAATGGAGAGAAGGGATCTGGAAAGGATTGGCATTATGGCAGCGCTGTATCTGAGAGTACGGCCATGGGCGAACACGATTCTGGACGTTGGTGACACTATGGCGGACTGGGCTACTTACTTGCTACTTCCGAAACACAAAAAGAACAGTGGAGGCCGCTGGGAATGCTTGAGAGCAACTCTCAACTCTCTCATAATCAGGCACCAGATCGCAGAGGTCAATAGTCTATTCCCACCTGTCAACGAGAAGCTCATTGTATTGGAGGGTTCGTACCAGGACCAGATGTCGCTCAACATCTTCTCCATGATGATCATCTTCAACTCGGTCCAATCCCAACGAACAGATATGGATTACTTTTTCCACAACAAACAGCGAAAGGCTCTTCTTCAGATTGTACACAACTTGAAGCAGGCGAGCTTCTTTGGAGGATCCTTCTATTCTCAGCAAGATATTAAAACAGCTGTCCGAACCGCTGAAGGTTTCCTTGCCGAGAAAAAAGTACCCATTAGTGACCAAGATCGAGAACTCCTTGAGCAAGCGATTAATTTTGGGCATGTTGTTTCCAACAACAAGGTCAAGGCTCTTAGCAATGCATTCCACGAGATGCCGCTCAGCGTCCACGGTTTCCCGCACAATGTCAGCGCATCTTGGTCACTCGACCAAGAAGCTGGGGACTACATATGCAGCTCGTCATCCATGTTGGTGACACTTCAGAAACTCATCTATAAATCAGCATCAAAACCCGAGGATCTGAATTCTCTATTGAATGGCCGATTGATTCAAGAAGGTGTCGATACGAGAATGCGCATGCTCGCATCTGATGAGACGGAAAACAGCTCCCAAACCTTGGCTGGTAATACGAAACTGGGAGATGACAAACACCGAATCACTAATGCTCATGGCATTAGTGATGTGAAGGTGGAAGCTGAAGCAACCGCTGATGGTGCACTTGGGCCATTGGAGACAGTCAAGATCACATCTACGGTGTCGGCCAAACTGTCATACCTGATTGATAGCGTTCTCAGATATCAGGAAACTGAGAAGATACTCATCTTCTATGAAAACGACAATATCGCCTGGTATTTAGCCGTTGTGCTGGAAGTTGTAAGAAAGGATGCGCCTGTAATCAAAACCAATACTAACTTCAAACAGCTCCAAGTACAACACCTGATCTATGCCAAAGGGTTGGCCGTACAGAGAAGATCACAATACGTCAACACTTTCAATCACAATGATGATTTCAGGTGAGTTTCTGAACCGCTCTTGATGCTATGGGCTAACAAGTACCAAGAGTTCTCCTTATGGACATCTCACAGGCAGCTTTCGGCCTAGATATGAGAGTTGCGTCTCGGATCTACTTTATCAGCCCAGTCCTGAACCCTCAAGTTGAAGCGCAGGCAATTGGCCGTGCGCGAAGGATTAGCCAGCAAAAACCAGTCTTTGTCGAGACTCTAGTACTAAAAAACAGTATAGACGAGGTCATCTTAGAACGCAAAGAACATATGACGCAGGCTGAACACCGCCGAGTTCAATCCATTCTAGACGATGGCCCAATGTACGAATGGGTCAAGAATGCCCGGATCACACCATTGCCGGAAGGCGATTTTAGTAAAGAGGATCAGATGTCACCTCTGGATACGCCGCAATACGTGTTCAGACGAGGATTTGGGAGAACTATACACCCTGATGAAGGCTTGGTACTGGACGAGGCTCCAAGGTCTGATGGGAGAGTGCTGAGGCCTCTCGAGCTGGCGAATGAGAAGAAACGAACGACACAATTTTGTGCAACCACAGTCATTAGAGATCAGAGTCAACACAAAGACTCGTCATCTAACACAAGCGATCTCGCCGCGCGGCCATGGAAGAGAGTGCGGTTCGGGTGAAGGGCGAAGAACCATCCCACCTACTGGATGTGCAGTACTGCGCCACGTACGGCCACATCCCCGCACTGAAGTGTGGCGAGTGGGAAGCTAAGTTTCAGAACCAAGTCAGAAGTTGGTAAACATTGTAGGTGGTAGCTGAAAGATGTTGATGCACGTGGAAGAGTTTGGAGTTTGGCGTCATGGAAGAAGAGTTCGGTTGCTAGTCAAGAGGAGCTAAGGGCAGAAGCTAAGGTGTATGGAGTATGTATCGCACAGAGCTACTAACGGTAATCAAATGTTCCTGCAAGTTTTGAGACCAGCCACCTGGAAAATCAGCAACAAAAATGAACTTAGCTTGGTGTTCCTGGTTACCAAGAGTCTTAAACTTGGACAGACGATGGGTCTGTTTGTTAGCTTCTGTAATAAGCGATGCAGAGTGAAATAGTGATGGGAAAATGACATCTTTGATGTTGAAAACACAATGGCCCATGTGGTAGGAAAGGTGACTTCATGGCAAGGTATCCCTGTAAAGGTACGGTATTGAGGCTCAGCAATTGAGAAGTAGCGGTATAGAATAGTAAGTCAAGGGTTCGGTAACTCATTGTTCAGAGGGAGCACAAACCACTAAGTTAGATGAATAATAAGAATGATGCCATGGCTGTTCAGCTGTGTCCCAATCTTTCGACCATGACGGGAACCACAAAGAAGCTGCGGGTATGTCGGTTCTCATGACGAGTCCCCCCCATAGCAAATGCCAACACACCCAAGATGCACGCATGTATGTATGCATGTACTGTACATATGGGTACCAGTACGGTGAACCGTCAGGAGGATTCGCATCACCGTAGTTCTAAGCGAAGCTTTCAAGACTTGGCGATAATTGTGAAATGCACATTTGTGGAGGAAGGGGATGGAGAGTCGATGTTATACCCCGGGTATCCGTACAAATCTCCGAGATTTTATGCTACGTATTGAAATGTCTGTGTGTTTTTTTCTTTTTCCAGAATGTGGAAAACGTTCCCTGCTCTGATCGGAGGCGAGTAGTCTAGGGGGTCCTAGTTATTGAGGTCCCGTCAATATGCACACGTTGAGCGGATCGAACGGCTGTTGTCCCGGGATCCAGTGCCAAAAAGTACATAGACTTGGTACATACGTAGAGTATTGCCAGCCACTGAACTACTCTGCAGCCAGCCTAAGAATTCGGAAAAGAATCTGTCTCCCAGTTGTTAAAAGATTGAGTGAGTTGATGTTGAGGTCATGAGACCCCGCTGCGTTGGCTGTGCTTTGCTTGGTATTGATTGGTATGGAGGTTCTGCAAGGCATAGAAAATTGGGTGTTACAAGCAAAAGAGGCAGGGATGAGCCGTGTTCCTGACGCGATGCTATTTTTGAACTGGCGGTTGAGTCTCCAAGTACCTTACTCCGAAGGGGCGACACACTGCTCAAGTATTCTTCTCTATAGATTATTCAAGCACTGAGTATCATCATAAGCTCTGAAAGCATCTGTATCTTCCCCCAAATGTTTACTGTCATACAGTGCTCCCTTGGTCTAACCCCAGGTTTACGTCTTCAAGATTTACAGTACAACCCCAGCAAATCCAAAACACAAGCAGGCAGGGGACAAAGCAGGGTTCTCGTTCTCGACCACCCAAGCTACGGATCTCTATTGGCTCCGCACCCTCAAACCTGAATCTTGGTTTTTCCCTGTGGCTTTGGCTTTTGAATGGACTTTGTTTTGTGAGATCGATCGGGAACTGCGTGCGTTACTTGAGCGACTGTGCACAATCCATAAGTTACTTAAGGTTGACGCAAGCCCGTTTCGGGAGTTTACCAAAGTCTTGGGTCTTCTCACTACTGACTAATAACTAAATCAGTGTTGTACTTCTCACCTAGTCAACCGAAGAAGGAGAAGGAAAAAAAAGTATATCGACCCTTACTACGGATACTGCTGACGAAGGGGGCTGCATGTCTGAGATACCCTTACGCCAAACGATGCGAAGGCGTTTGACTTGACCGTGTATTTTGCATTGGATAGCATCCAATGAATGGCATGATTTTATAGGACAAGCCTCCCTCCCTCCCTGATCACACTCATCGTCTGTCTGCCTTTAAAGTCCTGACGTTCCCCTGAGCCGCTTCTTCCTTGTCCTATACTTCATCATTCTTATTATTTCCTCGGTTACGATATTCTCGACTCTATTGGTCCGGCAGTCGACATCGGAACATTATCACGACAATCTGGTGCAACGTAAACGAATATCGATAGACAAAAACCACCCTGTCACAATAATAAATAGCCTCCGTCGATCATCTCGAAACTCCACATTCACAACCGACCATGTTCGAGGTTCAACATAACCACCACGGACAAGAGTTCAAGCGCTTCTTTCACCATGGTCGAAGCTCAATGTCTGCCATTGAGGACAAGAGGGCGGAAGAGTTTAGGAGACATGTCTGGGCGGTTACTATGATTGATGAGGATCCGTTGGCAGGGAGTGGGGAGAAGAAGAACAAGAAGAACCGCCAATCGATTGACCTTGTGTGAGTAAAAGAGTTTCTTTTATTATTATTATTATTATTATTCCCATTATTATTCGTCAGCTGTTTTACAGTCAGCTATACTCAACACCCCGTTCCTATACCACCCACGCGCAACATAATGCATTGTCTGTCTGTTTTATAACCCCTTGTGTTCTATTATTCTCCCCCTCTTCACCCTTTGGAAAGTTCCAAGGAGGAGCCCCTAGTAGAAGACATCCGGAGAAAAGAACAAGACCAAGAACGCCTCATCTCTTCCAACCCCTAAACCCGGCGTCCTAGTGTCTTGGTCTTGGTGTTGGCCGCATTCGACGGCCGCATTCGACTCCCGCTCTAGCGCATTCAGCTCCAACGAGGCTCTCACATCTAGATGTTTTTTTTAAATTACATGTCCACATTTTCCCCTGCGTGGCGCTTCAAGCTCCCTGTCTTCCGCAAAGGCACAGCCAAAACCATCTTTCTGCCTACGTCAGATCTTTATCCTAAGAGGTCAATTATGCCTAGTTTAGGCATTTGCGTGTACCATGGGGAAGTGGTGTGATTCTAGGACTCTTAGTGTTTTTTTTTTTTACCCTTCCCTCAGCACCCGTGTTGAATGATATACTTGCGATTTCCGTTGACTCGCGGAGGTTGTTGGTCGTTGCTTTCGAACACATGTTTTTCTAATACTAATACTTTAATTCTTTGGTACAGCCGTCCTGGTTCAAACAAACTGAGATCCAAGAGAGCTTCTGCATATGCTGGATCACCGCCGGTAACAAAGCCTAATGACAAGCAACATAAGAACCAGCTGAAGCTTGACACTACCGCAACTATGAAGGACTCTACAGTTACTGTCCGGCCGGTTCACCCACCGTCTTTTGGCTCACCAAAAGATCTGTCTTCAGTTCAAGAGAACGCTATCAACGCTTTCCTTGCAAACACTGAGTCTCCAAAGGGCACACAAGACAACTTTTCTCCTACGGCGTATCCTCGACCAACATATGCTGTTCTCGAAACTCCCCTGGCAGATCCTACAAATGTGAGGCCAAATGCCGCCCTGAACCGTCCTCGAAAACTGTCCAACAACTCAGTTACGACTGCATCGTCCTTTCAATCTCGAGAAAGCATGGTCTCAGCAAGACGGACCCCTTCTTGGGGGAGTAGAACGAGTATGGAAACGAACGAATCTACATCTCAATGGCGACCTGAGTATATGTATCAGCGGCCAATGCCCATCAAGAAAATGTCTTCTTCCCGAGCTCCCCTCCAACCGAATGAGCTCTTCGCCAGATTGCCCTCAGAGATCCTCTCGAATATACTGGAGCAGTTAAGAGATATTCACCTGGCGGATAACAGCGGGAGCTGTGCAACTTGTTGGATGCGAGATGCTTGTAATATCGCAGTGGCTTGCCGCAAGTGGTACAGGCCCGCCCAAATAGCACTGCAAGTACATCTCTTCCAACTACACATGAGAAAAAGCTAACTTGTATCAGATACCAAAATATCCAACTCGTGGGCCCGGACTCGGCAACCCTCAAGAAGAAGTTCAAAATGGCACAGGGCATTCGTGTCCTCATGCTCCGGCGCATACTCCGCTCTAATCCTCACATCGCCGAAATCGTCCGCACACTTAAAGTTCCGGCCCCTGAAATTGTCGCCAAAGGCTCCGGAGCTGCCGAGTATGAGGACCTTATTGCGACGCTCGTCATGGCGTGTCCTAATCTCGAGAGTCTCAGTGGCTTGTCGGTTCCGTACGACCACTCCTTCAAGAAGATATTCCATGCGTTATCCACAAGACCCATGTTAAGAGAAATGAACTGGCTTGTACACGCTTCGCCTCATCAGAGACAACAGAGAATCCAATCGAGTACTCAGCAGCTCGGCTTGGTGATGCCTGGAGAACTCAGGCCTTCCCAGGAAGCTGCCTTTTTGGCGTATCATGATAATTGGTCTCGCCTGGAAACGTTTACTGTGCATTGTCTCCCAGGAGCTACCGTCACGCCCGAGAACCTTCTTACATCAACACTCAAGCGTCTGCCAAACCTCAAACATCTTCATCTCTGTAACCTACCGCCCAATAGCTTCGACGACTCAACTCTCCTTGCTCTGCCGCCTCTACACTCCTTGACGTTGTCTCACATCAGCGGTATAACCTCGAGCGGGCTATCATCATTCGCAACGCAGTCCACCAGTCTTCCTCTGCGTAAGCTTACTCTTCGGCACACACCTCTCACGTCTCTCGCTGCTCTAGCGCGCATCTTGTCTAATTTGAGAAACTTGCTCAACTTTTCCCTTGTTCAGACCTTCCCACCCGTCATGCCGGAGAACGACAGCTTCGCACTATGGATGATGCCATATCTTGCAAACAACACTGTGCAGAGTCTCCACTGGGATATCACCAGCCATGCTACCTGTGTCAATGCAGCGGATGATATTCTCGCTCGCAGTATCTCTGCAGGAGGTTTTCCAGCTTTGAGGACACTCCGAGCACTTAACGACCCGGACGGCATCTTTCAGGATCTGTGCTACCCCGTCGAGAGAATCGATCTTCCTTCTGATCGATTCCGAACCTCTGAGCAACCAGAGAGCTCATCACCTTTTGCATTCCCTCCGAGCTCGGCAAGCCCCATGTCTCCCACACGCCTGTTCAAATCCAACAACTCACCTCTCGCTTCTCCACGGACCCCGGTTTCTCCGTTTGGCGACACACGCCGCCCTTACACAAGCCTCCATACCGCAAGGCTTGCCGCCCAAACGCGTCTCGAAGCAGCACGTTCCCGGCCAAAATTCACTGTCAACGTAGTAGATGAGGGCGGAGCCATTACTGAGACTTTCTCCATGGCTGGATTCATTGGTACGGCCGGAAGCTCAATCAAGTACCACCTTCTTCCTGACAGGGGTACTACAGACGATAAAGGCGGTCTTATTGATGTGAGAGATTTGGATAGCGATGCTGGAGAGAGTCTCATCGGTGGGAGAGAAGGGTGCACTGGACGCTGGAATATGCGTGATGGCATCGTGGCAGATAAGAAGGAAAAGGAAAGATGGTGGCATACAGAGAGAGGTCGGTGGACCAAAGTCACTCTCTGAGGCTGCTTACCTGAAAATATACCAAGATTCTTGGGGAGATGATAGTATGGTTACGATTTACGGCCTGCACATATATAGAACTGGAACGGCATGGCACGATATATATCTGGGAAGTCCCAAGGTTCAGGGATATCATTTCATGGCGTTTTCACTCAGATTGGTAAACAGGATCGGGTTCATAGCATTGGCAAATCTCAAAAACATATGAGTAAAAAGAACAGAATGCCAAATAACATCCAGCCATTGGACAATATTCACATACCTACCATCACGGATCCAACGTGTGCAAATATGTAGTGTATGCAGTATCAGCATCTCCATTCTGGCTTAACCAAAATATTAACAATAATAATGAACAATAAAATAAAAGAGACGTATATGTAGTGAATCCATGTATTTAGCTCAAGTAATTAAAGCTACCGATGCCACCGAATAAACGCCATTGTGCTCTCTACTTCGCAATAGCGATAAATCTGCTGTACGCCAAAGCCTCATATGCAAACAGTAAACAATTAAACATTTTTTTCTTCCGCCCAATTAAAGACATTGTTTCTATCAACCATGTCTAGGTTAAAACTAGATAGTTATGATCCCGTCCCGACTACATGTCTGTGTAGATTTTTTATTTTGTTCTTCTCATGCTAAATGTCGTTAAAAAGTAAAAGGGCTAGGGTTCTTGTTCCGCCCGCCCTCCTTTCCAAAAAGGTATGTGATGTTGCGTTTATGATGAAGTAGATGAGAAAGTCAAGGAAAGGAAAAGGAGAAATAATAACAGCTTGCAAGGTAGTCAGCCCAAAAGGTACTTGAATAAACCTTCGGCTGAGGCGGTCGTTACCACATTAAAGTCGGTGTGATTGGATAAAAACACGCCAACACCGGCGGAAAATCGTGCATGCATACGGGAAACCCGGCAGCTGGGTGTACAGGAATTGAGCTCCTGAGCTCTTCAAATGACGCTGGGCACATTCTGACCAAGGAAACCAACAGTGATTAGAAAAATCGGCTCTTCTTCTTCTCTTTCTTCATGGCATCGCTGCGCAAGATATCGTCAAAGGTTGCGCCCGTCTGCTCGGGAGGAGGTGATTCTGTTTGAGGGAAGCCCTGATGACCAAAGGCCGCCAGGTTACCCACAGATGAGTTCCGCGAACCCATCATAAGACTGGGAGGACGTCCACCAAGAGAACTGCTACGTTCTCCGAATGGGCTTGGGGGCTGTAGAGGTACAGGCTCCAATCCTAAGGCGATACTGGATCGCCAAGCTTGATTGGCTCGATTTCCGCCAGGCGAGTGAGTTCGAGGGCGAAGAGAGCCTGAAGGGCTGCCAATGGGGGATGGAGGAGTGTTGTAGCCGTTGCCGAAAGATGGTGGTGGTGTGGGCATAAAGTCCTCATCCAGGAACATGGACCGTGGGGGCTGCAACGGTGACAGCGAAGGTTCCGTTGGTGGCTGGGCTTGAAGTCCTGAAGCGCCGCTCTCCCACTGGGTAGCAGCAAGCCAGCAGTGACTTCGGTGGTAAGTGGCTTCCACGCTGAAAAGAACAGCATCTTGAGAGAGCTCGACCAAACCACCTGTGCCAGCCACCTCATACCACATCTTCTTCACTTGCTGATCCGGAACCCAAGGAGGGTTACCCAGAGGAGGCTCACAGAGGAAGTACTCAACACCTTCAGTGAACTGCATGCCTGGAGCATCCACAACTAAGACAGGGAGTGACTGGATGACAACGTAAAGGAACAGCCAGTAACCAATACGCTGGTCAGCAAAATCTTGAGGCGTCTTGCCTCGAGCCTCACGAAGCTCAAACTCCTTAAACTTGTCCAAGAAAGGAACCTTGGTAGCGTTGGTATCGTAATTGTAAGCCTTGTTCAACATGAGCATGAGTTCATGTTCCTTGATGTTCTTGTCGAATTTTGCCTGTTTCTTTGGTGAAAGCGTATCGTAAGTTTCCAGGATAGATGTCGCAGTGGGCAATTGCGGACAATCGTAAGGAATCGGAGGAAGAACAGGCGGCTTCGAGCGATCAAATTCGGACATGATGTTGCGCAGTGCAGACATGATCATCTTGTCAGGATCGTTAGAAAGTTCAGGAACAGCATCCATGATTCTCGAAGTTCGATTGGTGCGGTCGACGAGCAAGTCATAAAGAGCACACATGTCAGAATACAGAACCTTGAGGACAAGTCTGTTGAGGCCGCTCTCGGAGAATGGGTTCTTCTTGCTGCTGGCTTTGGGTGGCCAGTTGCCGAATGCTGTCTTGTAGTAGCTGAGAGCGAAATTACGCATTTTAGTAAATGACTGTTTCCACACCTTGAAGCGGACGCTTCTAAGCTCCGACATGGAAGTTGAGTTTGCAATACCAGAGAAAAGTGCAGGAAATTCGAATTGCTCCAGGTGCATATTGGCGTTATGCTGGCGGTTACTCAGATCGGTACTAGCCCGTTCCAAGTTCGTGCGAGTCTTTTCTGAAACCTGGTTCCAGAGAGGAAGTTTCAGATCTTGGATTGCTGGAAGCTTGCCCGCAGCATGGGCAAATGCCTCATTATAGAGATCGGCTGATCGCATGCGCTCGCCCAGAATCAATGCCTCGAGAGTCTTTTCCCGGCTGTTCCGACAGTCTGCAAGAGCATGCTGGTCCATGTAAAACTCGAAACTGAGATCAACAGCGTCTCCAAACGTGGTTCCATCATAACTCGTGAAGCCGTATTCTTCCAAAAGTTTTGAAATCTCCAGGAAAGCATGGAAGTTGGTAGGGCGAGTCTTGGTGGCAACGAGAGGCTGTCCGGTCAAGAAGGCGAACAGGTTGCGAATAGCAATCAAGCGATCCATGTCGGGTGGTGTTTCTTGGCCGGGAGTTCCATTAGGAAGATATAGGTGGAGGCAGTCATCATATCCGTCATCCTGAACAGGAGGGGAGTTTGGTGAGGAGATAAATCGGTTCGCATCTTCGGCTGTCAGGCTGTCACGACCACTGAAGCTCCTAGTTCGGTCCCTACCCATAGGCATCTCTCGCTCTCGCTGAATAAGTTCATTGAAAACCCAGGACGAGCTGATTGTGAATTCTTGAACCTTGAATGACGGCCCGAAGCCACTGCCCTTGGGGTAAAGGTAGACAAGAACAGCACCGCTTTCGTTCCAAAGTTCTGGGACCTAACGGAGCGCAAAGATTAACTCTGAAACCATGGTTCAACGGTAGAGCAACGTCACTTACCTTTTCTCCGTTCTTGAGAAACGAAGCATTGTACTCAGCCTGTGTATCGTCGGACAGTACCCACGCGGTTGAGGCGTTTGTGTTGGAGACGTCCATCGAGTTTGATCGCGATCTTCCACCAGGCAACCAACTTCTTCGGAGGCGACCCCGGGTTGGGCTCTGGCTCACATCACCCTTTGATGAACCTGGTCTGATGGCGAGTGGTGTAGAAACTACGCGGCTCTTGGTGTTGCTATTGCGGCTGTTGGGAGACTGCACTGAAGATGCGCGGCGACCACGATCAGGAGCTGGAGAAGTCTGTCGAGTCTTCAGAGCCTGGATGGAGTCACCGTTGGAGTTGCTGGATGTGTGCTGGAGAGAGCCACTTCGTGATCGAGCGGCGGGGTTTTCCTTTCGCAACTTTCCACTAACACCACTGCTGACATTATCTGAAGGAGAAGTAGGAATCGGAGGGGGCGGCATGTTAGGTTCCTGGGGGCTCATGGTGGCTCTCTGGACCTCTGGAGATGGAGGAATCGGTGCCATGATCTGAGGCTGAGGGTTCAATGTGCCATCGAGACTGTCGCTGCCGCGGGTTGGGATCGAGTCCGGACTAGGCGGGGAACCAGCATGGCTTGGCTGATATTGGCCATGAGCCTGGTGGGTGAGGGCGTCGTGGTAATCGCTCGTCATCCGGACGGTGGGGTCGATGATGCTGGGAGTGGTAGACGAGGCGCTATCGTCAACGGTTGTAGGAGGGGTTGCAGCGGTGTTAGTGGTGGTCGAGGTATCGGTGGGAGAAGAAGATTTGGTGGGTGCAGGAGAAATAGCGGCTGTAACGGCGGAAGCGGGAGCGGAGGGCGCCGCAGGTACCGGAGGTGTTGGTACAGATTTTGGTGAAGGCTCGGATGGCAGAACGAGCGATGGAAGAAAAGATGAAAGTCGATTTCTCCAGCGAGTTGAACCTTTGGTGGGAGAGAGGTTTGTTGTCGACTGGGATTTGGGCAAGGACACTTTTTGAGTAGAGTCGTTGCGTTTACGAATAGTCTTTTGCTCGGCGGAACGTGGACGGTTGTGTTGTACAGCGTCTTGGTCTTGCTGCGGGTTGGAGCCCATATGAGGCAAGTTTGTGGTGGACTTTGAAGACCCAATGTTTGAACCACGCAGGTGAGCGAGATCGGAAGTGTTTGACTTTTTTACGCTCTTTCGAGGAGAAGATGAAGAATCAGGATCTGTGTTTGACCGCAGCATAGAGGGCATTATAGAAGCCCGGAAGGACCTGCTCGACGTCATGACGGGCAATGCAATTCGTTCGTCCTAGCAAGTAAATGCAAGAGGTGACCAGATCGTCCAAACGCCAGCGTTACATGCAGCAAAGCAGAGGAACAGGAAAAAGGCAGAGTACCTATGCTAAGAATGGCAGCAGAGGGTACTTGTGGCAAACGAGTGACAGTTCAAACAGAACAAGGCAATGCAAGGCAGGGCAAACAAGGCGAGCTAAGTAAGCTATGCAAGCTTGGTCAGGTAAGGCAGTGAGTAAGTAAGCTGGTAAGTAAGAAACCGGGTTAACAAAGGTATGTAAAAGGGGACCGGCAAATGGACAATTCTTTATGTCAGGGGACTGCCAGCAACAAAAAAAAAAAGGGAAGAAAGAAAAGAAACTGAAACTGAGGAGAGCTCAACGGAGAACTTGACTTCAGACTGGAGTGGAAGAGGCGGCAGCAAGCGTCAACTAAGAGAAAAAAGTCAGGCAAAAGCCCTTTTCCGCTAGATACTACTAAGGTAGGGAATACGCAGGGCACACAGTATTTTAGTCCGTGGTGGCTTCGTGTCAGATCTAGGACGGGTCTTCCCTGCGCCGGGGACAAGCCCCCCCAAAAGATGGAGACTCAAGGCCCATAAAAGGCCTGGCAGAGCTTGATGCTGGCTGGTTAATTAGCAGGTACTTCAGGTACTCGCCTGGTACCTGAGTGGTTTTGCTGCTACTTTTGGGTGTGTCTCTGGATCAACGGGGTCGGGTCCGGGTTCGGGGGCTCGGGACTTGGTGGATACGCAATGACGTTGGCTGCTTGGGTGCTTATGAATTAGCTTCTCCTGAACTGAAGAGAAAGAGAAGGGGAAAAAAGCCCAGAAAGACGGACAACGGACGACGGGCTGGACGGGAGCTGTCAGTCAAAGACATTTGAATCACCAAACCCCCGCTGATTCAGTTGACTTGTCAACTGCGGAAACCGGATATACCGTGTCTAAAACAGTGCGCTATTCACATCCACATGCATGCATCTGGCTGTATTCACCCTCTTACGATGTCATGTCTCTCTTTTCTCCAGCCCCAGACAGGCTCGTGCTTCCTGCTCTACAAGTATTCATGTTCATCGCCTTGTTACTCATGTTGTGCCGCGTCGTGTCGCAGGTGCTGTAGCTTAGGTACGCCGCTACCAATACCATTACGGATCCGTGACAATGGAAACGAGGCATCCAATTCGAATCCTTGAATCCTTTTTTCATAGTAGCGGGTCTTTTCTGGTCTGGGCGGCTCATCCATCTCTTGACTGGTCTGCGGAGTTGATTTCAGACTGATGACAAGTGGAGAAGACATTTGATTCACCACAAAAGCCAAGACTGAGACTTGAAAGGGAGAGAAAGAAAGACATCATCTAATGTCGGCAGGGGAGCGAGTAATCAATTCATATTGTTAGTCTGTTTGAAAGACGCTCGGCTGTGAAGTAACTGATCCTGTATCTTGAAGCTTCAACATTAGTAGCTACCTGTCTATAGTATGATGATGCCACTTTATTGTCTGAAATTTGAATGAATAAATACCACATTGGACAACAATCACGACCCTGCCATTTCGAAACATACAATGCCTAGGGTTCCTCGTATTTCAACGTTTGATCTACAACCCTCTGTAAATCCCTTCGAGTCCCTAGATCCCGACTATCGCACCAGCATAAAACGCACCTGAGGCCCCCCCTCACCATCAACAGCTGAGGCATGGCTGTCTAGGCTGTGAATACCGAAGGTCAGCCTTCTAGAGCAAGCATTGCGAATCTTTGTTGCCCAATGCTCAGCCCAGGGGTGTGTGCTATGGCCAACGGTGCGCAGATTTCTCCTCAAGGATGAGGTGAGGTGCTTTTCTCTATTGTGAGCGCCAAAGTGCATGGGGTCGCCGACGACAGGGAAGTCCGGGGCGTTGGGAAAAGCCCGAGAAAAATCAGTGTGTAACATAATTATTACCTAGGTAGTTAGTGGTGTCCATCTGGCGCAATTAGCTGCAGCTATGGCGATGCCAACTGCGGTAGACAGAGTGGGATTGAGCCTCAAGGGCCTGCACTTAGAGTAAACACACTGGCAGGATACGAATGGACCCTGCGTGTGGTACATACAAGTACCTGGGGGTGACTTTGAATATCTGATGCTCAGATTGTTTATGATGATCCTCAGCCAGGCTGAATTGGTGTTGACAGTAATGCAACAGTACGGTAGGATTGGCTTAGGGATTGGAATTACATACATACACCTCCTTGATGCTTCATTACTTGGCCAGTACCAGCACTATTATTATACCAGGGATCGGAGAAGCAGGATGGATCAGCGAGAGCCAACCGTCAACCCCACGGTCTCCCTGTCACTCACAGTGCTTGGCCGTTTCGAAGTTTCAGCGTTTCCTTCTGGGCGTTCCCCCGAACGGTTGCCTCACATTTACCAGTAACACCTGTTAACAGATTGGAGATGGTGGGTTTTGGTCTAAGATTATCAGTTACGTACAACTCGATCGCTCAATTTCCCCATATCCAGTCTAATCTTTTCGCTGTTGTTTTGTCCCCGACTGCAAACTGTGATGCATGAAGCAAGGTTTTGGGACTCCCGGGAATCAGCCACATCCCGAAACAGTCATGTTCCTGGTGGTTGGTGTTGGATTGATCTTGTGGCTGCCTTTCTGCCGTCGACGACGCCCAAACTGGTTACATTTATCGGCATCGGCACCTTGTCGAATCACGAAAAGTCCTCGCTTCTATTAACCACCGTCGTGGGTAAGCTTCACCCGTCGTCATTCCCATTGGAGGTCAAAACAAAACTCGTCATCACGGTCAGAAATTGAGAACTCCAATAAGTCTCGCCCTGCTTCAAACTCCTGCATTGGCCCCCCTAGACCCCCTATTCCCACGCATCGGAAATATCTTGTTCCCATTTGGCCCGTCTGTGGCTGGTTCTCGCCCTCGTAAGATCTGCAAAAACCAACTCACAAAAATAACAACGCCCAGCCGTGGTTGGCCGCTCGCAACAGAATGGACCGTCTGGCGCAGAGGGTACAGCAGGAATCCAATAAACTGGGGGAATCTACCCGGCTACGATGCTTCGCTTCTCGTATTTCAGACCGACTCAATAGCACATGATGGGTAAATATCGTATACTCAAGACAGATCCCCATCAGCAAAGTCTTGGACGATTTTAGGCTTCGGTACCCGACTTGTACTCTGTGTCTCCAGATTTCTCTCGGCCGACTCATGTGTGGTGCCCAGCAGGCCAGCAGTCAGTTGCACGAGTCGCCCACCAGTTGCGCCTTAGGGGAAAGTGGCCGTAAAACAGGGGGCTTACTCTAGTTTACTGTCCATGAGCCATGATCATCGCCTCCAACTCATGCTCCTCGGCCAGACAAATCTCAGGGATCTCGTTGACGAGTTACAACTTACCTGTCATCAAGTGCGTGCCACCCCGGAGACCGAGCTCAATAATTGACGCCGCAGTAATAAATTTATGTCTGCATGTGTACACAAATGCCTGTCAGAAAGGCGCATGGCGGTACGCCTCATGTTGTGCTTCACAATCCAGACCATCAGGCTGGGAGTTGATTATGGCGATAATCTGGACAGTGAAAAATTAAACCCCCAATTGCCGCACACTACACCACAAGGGTGCATCAGATCTCCAGACCAGCTGCGTCATACTTTAGACCCCTGGCTTGGGTGTTCCATCGGTCGTTGTTGAGGGGCTTAGCGGTAGCCGAGATTAGCTCTGCACATCAGACAGAAAAGGGAGAGAACCCATTTTGCCCAGGAAACGACGAAGGATCGTGAGAAGTTGTCGAGATTCTAATGGCTCGTTCAAAGTCTTGGCTCCGTCGTGGGATCCAGTTCTCGGGTGCATGCTGCTCGTCTGCTGCGTCTGCATGGCTGTGCTGCTCCGCGTCTGGTACCTTTTTATAGAACATTCCGGAAAATCGTCCCACCCTTGTAACCTAGCCTAGTGTCTGTTCGCCCCAAGGAATACGCCAAAAACGGCCGTGTGGATCTTTATCCCTACTGGACGAGACTCAGCTCGGCGCCTGTGCTGTGTTATTACTGCGCTGACCAAACATTTTGGGCACTTTGTCTGAGACGGACTGTCGGATGAACTCTCGTATGTACTTGTGTTCTAGGCCCACTGAATCATTCGTTGTAACGCTTCAGGTGTAGACAGAGATACAGTTATAGAGTTGCAGGAAATATGCATATTACCTATATCCGAATCTTATTACTGAGGTGGGTTTGACCAATGCTCCATAGCATCAACAAAAGGCATTTAAGTGCTTATAATACGTAAGATGCTAAAGAGGGCGGTCTGGACCCCAATATGCATTCCAATGCGATGCTTGTCTTCAGCCATCCGCAGTCAAGCTCGTTTCAGTCAAAGTTTATGTTTGTCCTTGACTCAAGGCATCTGTCAAAAAGGGAAGCATTGCTATTCGCCTCTCAGTGCATGCAGTAACTTCACGTGACGTAAACCTTCCTATTATGGCTCATCTAAGCTCACCGAGGAGGAGCTGTTGATGCTACGATTTGATAGGACAGCAGATGCCGTTGCCCCATCTTTCTCATTGTTCGAATGACTGACGACAGGATATCACAAGTGCAAGGAACAGGATGTCTTGATGATTTTTACTACCAATCTACAAGTTCTTGAAAATGGAATCAATGATCCTCCAAGAAGGAAGCGTTGAGCCTTACTCTCCTGGAATCATCGATCTTGAAGAGTTCCTCGACATTGAGCGCCTCTGTGCGGGAACTTCAACGCCCTCACAGTCAGCCCAACCTCTTACACCTTTAAACGAGATCCCTATCCCTGCTGTCACTAGCGAACAGCGATGTTCCGAAAAGAAGATACCAGACGATACACAAGGCGGCTATAAGACGAATCGATCATTTAATCAGCCAAGGCGTAAAGGAATTCGTTCAACTGTCTCAGTCCCTGAATACTCCGTCATATGTTTCCCCTCTAACCCCACTAAGCCCGATGGTATCAAGAAGAAGAGAAAGGACTTTGATGAAAAAAGGAGGCTTGAAGTTGCACGAGTCCGGAAAACTGGTGCCTGCTTCAGATGCAAAGTTCGAAGAATATCTGTATGTCTCATCACGTATGTCTGGGCACGTACATACAGAAGTTGACCTTTTAGTGTGGCATAGGAGCTCCATGTCAAGCATGTGAAAAAGCGGCTGGTATTCTTGGAACTCAGTTATGTATCCGTGAAAAGTTGACGAAAATGAGATTCAGCTCAGGAGGTAAGACTGTATCTGGCCGGCGTATATTCAGGTCAGCTAATAGTTTCAGATCTTCATTATATCGATTATACTGCGAGGTTGCTAAACCAGGAGCTTATTACAGGCACAACTCATCTTGGACCACATCGAAAAGTCACATTGTCCATGGACTACCTCGACAACCCAGTTATAGAAGTTGAAGTACAGGATTATTATGGAAACACAACACCACCATGGTTCTGTTGCTGGGTCGTGATGGATCAAGTTGGGGAGCAAGTCGAATCATACCGCCAAGAAAGCGCCCGCTATGCCTTGCCACAGCTTCTTCTACCCAGTCAACTGATTGACTGGGTCGAAAGAATGATCACTCATCAGGATACCCGCTGTATAGGCTTCCAGCAAACCGTGGATTCATTCATTTTGAGATACAGTCAATCGGAAGCATCGCTGCCTATGGTAAGCAAAATCTCATCTTGATGCCTTGCTCAGCCGACTTACACGACAACCTAAGTACGAATTTGTCCGCAAAGTACACAGGCTCAATTGTCTGACAAAAATCCGCTTGGGCCTCATTCTTTGCATGGAAAGGGGAGGAAATGTGACTCCGCCATCTTGTGCGTTGCATACACAGTTTGGCCAGATCTCAAAAGCGGCCTCCCAACCAATAGAGAAAGAAGTTCTTCTTGAGCTCGAGAAAATTGTCTTTGGCACTGCGGGTATCGGGCCTGACAACTCAATGGCTCTCTGGGCCAGCCTGTGGTGTCTTATCCTGATGTATCGGAAACTCGTACACACGTATATGGCCTTCCAAGAATTTCCTTGTCACGTACCTGAAGATTACAGCGGGTTTCCAGAGTGCAAGCTCGAAGTCGGGACGCATTTTTATCACTATCTCGTGTCTATCTATGCAGCCCTGTTCCGCGTAACTAGTCCGCTCTATGCCGACTTCCGGGTAGCTGCAACACGCAAGCTTCTCAACGATGACGAGTCTCTTATCAAAGCCTTCATGAGCTTACGCACTGAAAGCTTCTATTTTCGTTAGTGGCTTTAACCTTAGTTGTGGAACAAGAGCTGACTGTTTCTTAGAAAGAGAGTCCATGTCTATGTCAGCATCACACGATCAATTGCTGCGCAGAATGATACTGGATCGAGAAGCAGGACTGAAACCGAAACAACCAAACATAAAGTGATTGTTCCCGTTGATCGAGTATTTTTGTTCAGCTGGTTACGTGGGCTTAGTTATGGCCACCTTCAAACCGTACAAGTGATATTACGCTTCAGCGGTAACCCAATCATTATCACAACATCCAAGTCAGCAAGCAACCATATATACAAGCAGTATAGCCAATAGCCCTTACACAATCTGACTCTGTTGGTTTTGAACTTCGAAGAGTTTGAGATGCAAAGTACTCTCGCCTCAAATGTAGTTCAGATCGTGACAATCTGCTAATGAGTGAAATCCCTATTACAGCCTACTAACAGTATACGAATATTATGATGGGGGTTTCTGAGGCCGGCGAAAGGATATCAGGATTGGGAGACATATATCTTCCCGTACTTCCGACCTTTGCCCACCCCACAATCCATAGTTGAGCCAGCGCAATGACGAGCTCCCCCCTTCTGGTAGTCGCTATAATTGACTAAACCTTAGACTTGGAGGTCTCATGGTCTGCCGCTCCTAAGGAGGCTCCAAAGAAATCCTGAAGAAACGTAGGTTTTAGATCTTTTCATTCTCAGTTTGCTATTTTCGGGCCATCCTGGAGATACAACCTCATTATAATGCACCCTTCCCTATGACCCTCTGAACGGGAAACGCATGAACGCCACGAACTCCAGTCACGGCCAGAGATCGGAATAGAGACATTGCTAGTGCGTTTGAGGGCTGGAACTCGCAGCATCAGGCTTCTAAGCATCCCGTCATGCATGACAGGAAGATCAACGATATGCATATTAAAGCCGGGACATTTGGTTACACTCTCCCCTCACCAAAGAACAAATCACTAAGGGCTTTGCCACTTAAAAGCCTAAACGACGCATCGGAGCGACGGTGTAGTACGGACTGACCTTCAACTACGAAACCGGGCCTGTGCTCTGAGCTCGGAGGGGCTTTCTCTGCGAAGAAATACCCACAGACTCTCTCAAAATCTTCGTTGGGATGACGGATCTTAGTATGAGAACGGAAGCGATTCGAAACTACGATGATCACGAGAGAGAACGCATCAATAAGTTCCACAAGGAGTACGTCAGAGCCAACCCACGTCGGGCCATCAAGAAATGGTCACGAGAACGATCTCACCCGCAGCCTAGGTACTATCGAAATAGAAGACAGTGCGTTTCACATACCTAGGAGAAATGAACCCTGTATATTTGTGTAGTTGTCCGGGACTTGAGTGAAAGGTCAAGTCTTCCTATACCTAAGAAGCGGACAAACCTTTCAAAGGGAAGGAGCAGTCAAAAGGCATATATGGAAAGGATTACAAGGCTGTGGTTATTAGTGGCCGCCCTCTTTAAGAATTTGACCTTAACATAAACCCATCTCATTAAGCCTCTTCTGTAGAAAGCTCAGTATCAAGTAGCAGTCAAATGACCAAAAGCAAAGTCAGCGTGTTATTGAACTTAGAGTCTTTTAATTTATTCCACTCTTAACCTGTCCAGGTTTCGTTCCCCAACTATATCTTTTCTTCTTCTTCTTCTTCTTCTTCTTCTTCTTCTTCTAGTCTAATAGATTAGTATAAAAGTCAGGAAGACTTAAGCCTTCCTGAGCCTCTCGCACTACCCTATACGACCCGTCACTGCAGAGGAAGGAGCAGCTACCCCTGATCCTGTTTGCTTCCTGGTAAGTTCTAAGGCATAGCATTAGAAGCCCTTTAAAGAACACAGGAGCCACACAGACATCCAGGTTCAGAGCCTGATCACTCAATATAGTAGGGTTTTGCCCATAACCCTACTACACAGAAGCTAATCACGAAACTTGCTTTCCTGTAGAAGGTATAGTATATCGCTTTAGTCGCTGTTGCTGTGTTCTTATGGGTTTCTTGCTTGTATATACTTAAACGGCTGTACCCTCCTATTTTAGTAATAGATGAGCTGATATATATCTATCTTTATTGGCATTGATGGCGTGACTGGTACTCTTGTTGTCTTAACTTGTCTTTTTCCACAGCTTGCTGACTCCTTGAGTATAGTGTTCTCAGTTTCAACTTACACAGCCACGTTCATATAGACGATGCGCTGCGTGCTTCTTTTGGGTCCATACAGGAGGGCAATAAAACTTGAGATCTTTCTCCTAAGTTATGTAGGTTAGTAATGAAAGGACTCGGGCATTTTAGTCCAAGTTTATTCTGCGTTTAGTCTAAGGTTAGGGGAGTCTTTACTAAGTTCACCTTAGCAACCTCTTCTAAAGTCTCATGTTTTCTTGCTCCTTGAAGGTGAGGTACCTAGGGTCCAGGTTGGCTCTTCCCAGTACCTCTTGTGCCTTGATTGGTGTGTGCAATACTATGTTACCTGCAAACTGGCCCGGGTTCAAATGGGCCAGCATTGCCCTAGATCCAATGGTAGTTTCTCGATCACCTCGACCGAGCTTGGACTACCTAGTCAAGTCTTTGGCAATATCAGACTTCGCCCACTGCGTTAGCCGTTACACCAGTGTTATAATTTGTGACTGATACCTGGTGACATTCGGATGCTTATCTGAGACAGGGAACGCTTCATTCAAGCTTCTCAAGTCGGCCTCAACGGTCTTCCCAGTTTGTCCTGCAGGTGCATCAGGCTCTTTGTCTTCTTCCAGGAGATAGGTTCGCCATCATCGTCTTCCTAATCGAATTCATCCTTTGAGGCAAGTGCATGCTCTTCCTCATGATCTCCTGGGATGTCGTCTATTTGGGGCAGGATCTCCTTGCCAGCGCTGTGTTCAGCCTTCTTTCTTCGGAGCGTTTTCGTCTTTGCATTGTTCGATAGTTCTGAAAACGCTTTCCTTTAGTTGGATGGCATGGTTCTGGTTGTGGTATAAGGGTAATCAAAGAGCTTTGTTAGGTATTTAACAAGGGCCTGTGAAGTCACCAATGGTCCCATCAGAAATATATAAGATTCCGCAACCCTCTCCCCTCCTATCGCAAGCAATGCTGAGCCCTTGGTGCGGCGAGCGAGTCTGACAGATAGATAATTGTACACAGCGTGTATAACTATATATCAGTCTACAGACTATAAATACTAATTAACTGAATAATTTGGTAATTCTTCTCACTGAAAGAAGCAAAAGTATCACTGAGCGAATCGGGTGGCGAATTGATACGTTTTATCTTACAACTGGCGTTTCGGAAAGCTATACGAAAAAGACATTTTGTATCCATGATTTATGATGACTTTGGGCTCACTTTATAATTTTATTCTACAGCACCATCGCCTAAAGTTGTTATCAAAGTGTCAAGCAGGGAGATAAGCAGTCAATTGTATTTCGAGAACACGCCTTCAGTAAAAATAAAAAGCAGGTTTGGAAAGTCGCGCTGCATTACTTTGAGAAATTTGGGCACATGACTGATGTCTCATGCAACTCATCTTATCTTGTCTTGCTCAATAAGGCAACCAGCGTGGGTCTCGCTTCCAATTCTACCGACCCGGAGCTCCGGTGGCGCTGAGGTTAAATTTGACCACGGCCCCGCATTGCCGGGACGCCCCGTCTTGCGACAAGAAATTAAATCCTAAATTTGATAGACGATATCTAAGCTTTCAACGAGTGATTAAGATTAAATTGACTTAAATTTGAGCCCGCTGCCGGATATAAAAACTGCATAGTTGTGATAGCTACGAAATTATCAATATGATGCGAGCATAGTTGCATTTACTGCGTCTAGAACCACTCGATTTGGTGCCATTCGGATTGAACAGATCAAGTTTCAATAACTTATAAACGATGATACTCTGATGATGGGCACGGCGAGTCTTTCTTGGAGTCGTGAGTTCTTAGAGGTGACATCCCTGTCTATACGACCGCACGATCCCACTTTGGGATGTCAATGAACTAGCAATACCACCAAGCTAAGTGCTGACACTGAGAAGAAAAGTCTAAAAGAAGTCAATAGCAAGTTCCTTTTGGTTTTTATAATGCGCTCTGATATGTATCTCGGTTCTGTCTGACCAATTGAGTGTGTAGACTCGAGTTGATAACCCATATATCACAGATATACTCGATTGCTCTACTACACGACACCAAGGCTAACGGACCGCCCGTGCGGAGGATAACAAAGGGAACTAGTTCGATGACTGACATTCTTTAAATTGACAGTTTCGCAAATGCAATTGACCTCAGGAAGTGAATTGGCAGTCCTCACTTGAATATCATCGTCTTGTCCGGTCATCCAGATATCAACACCAACGGCACATCACGGAGGTTCGATGGCATCAACAGGCAATTGCGCCAGCAACACTAGATAATTCTAGCCATCTAGTTTACCATCGATAAAGTTTCGCCTCTCCTCCATCCCAACAATAGTCATATACACACTATTCCCGTGATCTAGGTCTACTAGCAACTCGTAGCGTTCTCCTGGACTCGACTCAAGTCGAAAACCGGTAAGACAAGGTTGTTCTATTGGTCAATTACAGTGGAATTTTGTGAGATCTAGCCAATACAACCCCTGTCTTACACCGAGAAGTGAAGAGCAAGATGGTGTAAGTGAACAAGTCCACCACGACAGTCGAGGAAGGCCGAATTATAACTCTCTGGTGCCAGGACGTGTCTCTGAATCGCTCAATCTTGCACGCAAGCATCAGGCACATTGGAACTTTTCACCTTATCGTCTTCTGACAAGTATTTGCTGCGTGCTTCAATTCGCCCAGCGCAGACATCGAGGTTCCACCAAGATAGCTCCTCGTGACTTACACCGGAAACAGTACATTACATTGCAGGGCAGGCAGGTCGTCAACATGGATAAAGGAGGTGCTTCCGCTGCTGTCTTTGCGTCCAGAAACTTGTCCCAGATAGGTCAAGAAAACCCGCGTGTTCCCACCTCCCCGGGCCCGGACTATGATGAGCTCTTCAGGTCT